ATTATATATATATATATTTATATATATATATTATATATTATATAATAATATTATATATATATATACCTATATATATATATAAATATAATATATTATATATTATATATATATATTATATATAGATTATTAGATATATAAATATATGTATATATATATATATACTAAATATATATATATATATATATATATATATATATACTATATATATATATATATATATATTTATATATTATATCAGGGCACCAGGCTCGCTTTTCAAAGTTATTTAATCAAATTCTGTTTAACAATTCGGTAAACAGTAGCGAAATTATTTTTACAAAAACATTGTCTTACGGCCACAGCAGGACTCGAACTGCGAAACTCTATCAAAAATCCACAGTAGTTTACCACGGAGCCAGACAACAAGGTACGTATGGGAGCTTAGCGAGCTATGTAATGTTTCCTATACCCCGGAGCGCAAATAAATAAATAAAAAATAAATTTATATATATATAAATATATATATATATATATATTTATATATATATATATATATATATATATATATAATATATATATATATATATATTATATATAAAATATATATATTATATATAATATTTATATATATATATTAATAATATATTATATATATATATATATATATTATATATATATTATGTTCGTGGCCGAATGTAAAACTGGTCAATTAGCAAGAAACTCTTTATTAAAATTATGTCTTTCTGAAATTTTCTCTAATACGTTTAAAGATATATTTTTTTCTTAATGTTTGATGTAACAATTTTTAATTTTGCACCAAAAGCATCATAGAAACTACCTAACCTTATTATAACAAGAACAATTTATTTTACCTAACCAACTAAAAATATATTTTAGATTTGTTTACAATATTTAATACTAAACAACCACAGTTGAAATATATATTTTTTCTTTAGTTCAGAATGATTTTGGCGATATTATTGCATACACAAATTTTCACTTGTTTTTTATATGGCAAGATGAACGTTGCTATTTAAGCCAAGATCGCAAGTTTGCTTATTTGACGAATTATATTATATATATATTATATATAATATATATATTTATATATATTCACGTAATTCATGCATTGGCCGGGGAGGTATAACATCTTTTAGGAGCGAAGAAGAGCCGGATGTGAGTGTGGAGGAGGTGAGGGAGGCATTATGTAGAATGAAAGGGGGTAAAGCAGCTGGTACTGATGAGATCATGACAGAAATGTTAAAAAACAGGGATGGGAGCTATAGTTTTGGAGTTTTTTTTTTTGTAGGTTGGTGGACAGCAACCGCCCAGGGAGGTACTACCGTCCTGCCAAGTGAGTGTAAAACGGAAGCCTGTAATTGCTTTACATGATGGTAGGATTGCTGGTGTCCTTTTTTCTGTCTCATAAACATGCAAAATTTCAGGTATGTCTTGCTACTTCTACTTACACTTAGGTGACACTACACATATCTGTACAAACATATATACACACCCATCTGGGTTTTCTTCTATTTTCTTTCTAGTTGTTGTTTTATTTCCTCTTACCTCCATGGGGAAGAAGTGGAACAGAATTCTTTTCCTCCGTAAAGCCTGCGTGTTGTATCGAGTGCGACTAAAATGCGGGACAGGGGGGCTAGTAACCTATTCTCTGTGTATATTATAATGTAAAAGGAGAAAAACTTTCGTTTTTCTTTTTGGGCCACCCCGCCACGGTGGATACGGCCGGTGCCCCGGTGTTGAAAAAAGAAAAGGGAATAGATATATATATATATATATATATTATATATATATATATATTTATATATATATATATATATATATACTATACATATGTATATATATATATATATATATATATATATATATATAATATATATATTATATATATATATATATATATATTTATATATATATATATGTAATATATTTATATATAATAAATATATATATATATATATATATACTATATATATATATATATATACTATATATATATATATATATATTATATATTATATATGAACAAACGAATAGGCAATCTGGACACCCACGATGCACTTGTACCTTCTCACAAAGTAGCTCTGAGTTGCCCCAGGTTGAACATATTTCCTATAAGATGTTGACACCTTCATATGATACCCTATACTGCACGAATATGGACAGTCTATTCTGAGGCAGATTAGATTTTTACGAAAGTACTTAACCTTACTCTAGAAGACGGGCAGTGGAACCAAGCTACACCTTCCAGTCAGACTAGGATGGCATTGTATCCGCAAGTCATCACAGATTGCGTTACCGCTTTTCTGTCCTAGTGTATTGCATCCAGGAGAGCTCTGTGCAGCGATTCTCCCTGAAACATCTTAGGGACAAGATTGCGAGCCCAGGACCAAAAATTCATTGACGGAGCAATGTCTGGGATAATCTAACGGGCTCAGAAACAGACCCTGCTCCCCCAACAACTACAAACAATCGCACTGGGATGGTCCAATAGTGTGAAAAT